CGTCGTACGGAAAGGGACGGACGAGCGTCGAGTCGGACGGGCGGGGGCGGGCGGGGGNGGGGGTGGGGNGGCGGGGGTGGGGGGGAGGAGGAGGACGGCCGCCGCCACCTCCGGGGGGCAGCGGCTCAAAGCCCATAAACGGTCTTGAGCGGGTCAGGGGCATTGATCACTGTGAGTGATGCTAATGCTGATAATCCTCGTCATTAGGCTATCCATTTCGCATCTGGATCTTGGCGGAGCTTAGATCATTCCGTGAGGTCTCACTGCATTTCGAACGCGTTGAGCTCATGGTCTGAAGAAGCGACCCGTGTCGTTTCCAAATTCTGAGCCCCGTAATTGTTGCTTTCATTGATGCAAGCGCATAAACTTCTGCATCTGTTCAGAGATCACCCCTTGCAGATAGGCTCCGTAAAGCTACCAGATAACCAGTGGGTGTAGTAGAGCAACATAGGGAATTCAAAACGTGCCAAAGGACATCCTCGAACCCTCTTATGGTGGATCTGCAGGTGCTAGTGCTCCTGGTGGCGCCTGAGGTCGGTAAGGCACCTGCTATCTTGGATCTCCGTCTTGCACATCTTGGGTAAGATGGAGGTTCTGGCAGGTGCCGCGACCCGAAGATCTTCAAAGTGGATCAAAGAGATGGGGCGGATACCTGTGCGCTTATACAGTCGCACATGAGTATCCAATGGGTCCAAGTCATCATGAAGCAGCTCCAGCAAATCCTGCACATAGTCAGGCCTGGAAGCAGCTGATCCCGACTTGACCTGCCCATGCTTTGGTCGCAAGTGAGTGGGATTTGACGAGGGGAAAGTGGATGTTTTCGTTATTTTCTCAAGCACGGAAGAATAGAAACTCGTAGCTATGGGGGGAGTTGAATCGGGGGTTTGTCTGTACAGTAGGTGCTCGATGCCAACTATGTTTTTGAGAGGCATTGAGTGTTGTGGTTACCCTTACATATGGTCTGTATCCCGTTCGTTTTCTTCAAACGATCGATCCAGAAATGAACACTCAAACCGAACTTGAGTTGAGATTATGCATATGCTATCTCATCTTGAAAAACCCTAGGTGCCAAGGGGTGTCACTGTCAGCTATAGATCGAGTTAGCTTATGTGTGATGCACATCATCTGCAAGGAGCTCGCCATAAGGTGCATGAGAAGAGCTCAAGCCAGGATCTATCCAATTGTTGAAGGATCAGCCAAGTTCATACTCTGAGAAGTCAGCTGGCAGGCCCAATGTTTATAACGTAAGTCATATGTCCAAAATGCACATGCATGTGAGAATCCATGCACGTCAATCTGAGCATCATGTGCAATTAACAGGCCGTCAGGCTTCATGTTCGCACGCGTGCCCAGGTCAGCTAGGCAGCTTGAACTTAACAGCCTGTTGCAAACCCGGCCCATGCCGCGGCAATTCACCGAATCAGAGTCCTTCGCTGCGCGCGCCCATGCAAGCATCTGAGTGCCCTGCCATGGTATGCTCGCACGTATCAATACTGCAATATATTGTAGCTCCTTGATTGCAGTTAATTAATGATTGCGGTTTACGAAATGCCTATAATTGAAACATTGAGCACTCGCGATATTACATGGCTCTTAAAAGTAAGCATGCATGTTTGGCCTTTCCTACGGTGCATTTCTAAGGTTCTGGACAACCATCAATGATTGATATCTGTAGTCCTAGGGCCAGCCATCGCATGATTCCCGGTAATCAAGGACGTGCAGGTTCACTCATGATCGACCGTACTTGGCCAGCGGGTTGTGTGATAACAGCACTGGTAAAAGCATATACAGCGTGCAGTCTGTTTACAAACCACAGATTCTGCTTCCTGCAGGGCCACTTAGCTGCAACGAGTGTTTACTATTCTATATCTTCGTGGAAGTCTGTTGCGCATCTTATTTATACAAAGCAAGATCCGGTCGCCAGAGACTCAAAACACACACATACCTATCACCCTCTAGACGATCGACCAAACGCTATTTGCTTACTAGCTCGGTCACTTCCGCGTTGCAAAAGAAACATCGTTTGTTGTTGAGCAAATGCCGCGAGATGCACCGCTTGCACGATTCGTGCAAGCACGGCTCAAACACTGTGTCTACCTCGTACGCATAGCATATGGGACAAAGCTCCCCGTCTTCGTCCATCTGATCCCCATCCTCGGTGGCCCCAACAGAATCAACCACAGCCTTGCCTTTGGCGGCAGCTTTTCGATCCTTCTCGTCGGCATTGCGCTGCCGCAGGTCCTCAAGTTCCTGCGTCGAACGAAGTGTCAGCTGATCCCCAGATATGGACGCCCTTGGTTTTGACAGGATTCACATCGACACGAGAAACATGCGCTTCGGTGCCATGATTTTGAAACACCACACTTTCTCAAGGAGATGACTTCTTTAGTAGTTGACCAGAGAGAGCATTAGACGATGAAACAGCCTTGTGAGATTCAAACGACGGACACTTCTGCTTTTCCGGCCGCTAAACTTCCGTGCTGATTGCCCGACGAGAATCCTCTTAGAAGAATACAAACCTCACGATGTTATGCTCGCTCTTTTCGAAAGACAGCCTAAGCAAACGTAACACGCAGTCTTCCACACCGCACAACTCTCTACATCCACTATCGAGTCGTCTTCCAATGCAAGAAAGGATTCTCGCTTCCCGCACCTGCTTGTAACGCCGCACGAAGCTCTTGAGCTCCGCCACGCGGTGCAGCGAGGGATCCCCCTTGAACGCGTCCCCCCAGTTGAACTCGAGCAAGTAATCGAAGTTGGCGCTCGACCCGGCCGTCGCGTCGGCGGCCGCGAGCGCGCGCACAATGTCGTGCTGCAGCCCCCGCACGCGCGTAGGGGCGGCCGCAAGGTTGATGACGATCCCGATGAGGGGGGCCAAAATCATGGGGCGGCTGATCTTCTCCAGGGACTGCATCTGCAGCCGGAGGGTCCTACAAGGGAGGCAGAATGGGAAGGGTCAGAATTTATTCTTTATTATTAAGTCTGCGGTTCAGAACGGAACTTCTCTTTAAAGTATTCCACCCAGGTCGTGTTGGGCAGAAATGAACGACGTGAAAAGGCCGATGCCGCTGGAATCATGTTCCAAGCAGTCAAAACCTAACCGGCCCGGCCTCCCAAAACAGCAAGAAAAGCTGGTTGAGTTTCCCCTCTTTGGTAGGTATTCGACAGCAGACAGGGCACCGACAGCAGGCAAGGTGCCATCACCAATCAAGGGTCCCGCGCACCGCGTTTGACCTGGACTTCTGGATCTTCAAGGCTAGCACGTGGCTGCGTCCCAGCCACGGAGACTCTGCAACCAACACACTGTTTGACAGGGCAAGCGCAGCACGCTCACCGGTCAAAGAGGCCCGCGTCGGGCCCGGCGGTGGTGTGGTTGAGCACGAAGGTGATGAGCTCGCAGAGGCGGCTGAGGTTCATCTCGGGCCCCGCGAGGAAGAGGCCGGGCAGCTCCTGCGAGAGGAACTCCAGGATGCGCTCCAGATTGCAGCTCAGCTCAAACATGATGGCGCACTTGCGCTGCTGCAGCTCGGGGACCTGCGGGCAGGCGGGAGAAGGGGGCTGAGAAGGAGGACAGCGCGATCGGAAAGAGGGAAGACGAAATGAAAACGAGGAGAAAAACAGAAAAGGAGGAGAGAAGAACCGAGTAGACAAAAGGATCCAGGGGGGGGAAGAGGGATTGCAAAGGAGGGAGGGACTATAACGAGGAAGGACTCAGAAGCAGGAGAGCAGGACTGAAAAGGAGGAGAGAGGCATGGAACCGAGAGACGCGACTGAAGGATAAGACAGAAACTGAATGATCCATTTCCCTGAGAAGAAAAGGCACTACCAGTAGTCCTTGCCAACCGCGCGATGTTACTGACCGGTTCTGGTGCGGACGTCTCAGAGAACCTTCTGTTAGTACCTGACAAGCCTGCCAAGGGTTTCCACAGCAAAACAAGCGCGAACGGCCATTCGACCTTCATCCAGTCAAAAAGAAAGTAGCGAAACATAGAATTTAAAACCCCTCTGCTGCTGTGGGTGCGCTGCCACGTGGCCTCACCTGGCGGCGCGCGAGCAGGTCCTGCATCTCCTTCATGGCGACGCTGAACTCGGTGACGGTCCAGTTGAGCATGTTAAACAGCCGGTTGAGGAAGGAGCTGGCCAGCGCGTCGTCTGCGGCGATCGTGTCCTTGATCAGCCACTGGAACACCTGCGACTCCAGCCCCTGGTGCGACGGCCGCGACGCGCCAAACCCGGAGCCCTGCGCAGTGCAAATCAGTACAAGATCAGCGACGGAAAAGCAGAGAACTGTAGTCGCAGTGGGAGCGAGTCCTTGGGATGCGTCGGGGAGGTGCAACTCTCTGGGTCTCGCCATTGGAATGAAGCAGAATATGCATGGAAGCCTTTGATGCGGAACAAAGTCGTGCAGATGGACAGCCCGTAAGGGCGCCTTACAGGCACCGGCATGCGCGGAGTTAAACCTCATTCGTCAAGGCATGGAGCAGTGCGGACTTTATCAAGAAAAGAAAACCGGGCCACGAACCAGAGTTGCACCGCAGTATTTCACGAGCGGCTCCCCTCGAGAGGAGCCGAAGAAGCGACGACACTCTATGATAACAAAGGAACCAGCAGAGCTCTCACACTTGAAACGAATCAAACGGCACGAAGTGACCACACCCATATCATACCAGCTCGCCGCGCCGTTGCTGATTCGAGCATGTCCGCCGTGCCTCACCTTGACCATTCGCAGCAGGATATTGGAGATTGGGATCCAGAAGCGGTTGTCGAACGAGTGCAGCAGGGCCGGGATGAGGCTCTCGCGCGCGGCGCGGTTGCGCTCGAAGGCCGCCACGTACTCCTTGTAATTTAGAAGCACGCTGATGGACTGCAGCAATACGTCTCGGACGTCCGGGTTGGCAATGCGGGCGTCCGTAAAGTGCGTCACCAGGAATGTAACTAGAGGGGGGAGCCCGTTCTGGAGCAGCCCGAGGGGGGGAAGGAAGGGCGGGTCGCTGCGGCGGATGGCGTGGAACGAGTCCACCTGGGGAGCGAGAGCGAACCTCTGTATTTGTGTCAGTCAGGAGAGCCTGTAACAGCCTAAGAAGCCCTAGCTGACGAACGTCGTTGTTTGGCGCGTCACAGGAGTACTTCAAAATCCAGCGGAGACATCTAAAAATAGCGACACAGATTTGAGTTTGTAATCGCTTGGGAGTTGGATGAGTTTGGCTTGGAAGGGTCTACTTCGGAAAGGTCGACCGTCGTAGGCAGATTTACAGGCAGGACACCTCTAACCTTTTAGTGATGATTAACGAGGAAGGTGGCTTGCAACACGTGAAAGCTTTGAGTGTACGCCAAGCAGACGTGACTTCATGGACAAAGTCGTTCGTGTACGAGAAGCAAGCAGTCTCATGGCTGAAAAATACCATTAAAATTGCAATCAAATTGTCACTTGAAGTGAAAGAAGAGCGCTCGAGAAGCCGCACGAGCAGCATGACACAAGGACACATGACAAGCCGGAATCGGCCATGGAAACAGCCATCAGAGTGTGTCCCCTCTAGTCTAACTTCGCTTAAAAACCCGTCAATCGATGCAAGGAGCAAACAAGCTGACATTCTTGCGAGCTCTCTACAGTTGCCACACGTTCGCATCGTAAAAGTACACTGTCCTATAGAGTGTTGCGTCGCTGAGGAGACGAGTGGCGAACATGTTGCACACCTTGCAAAACCTGGCCGCTGAACTGGACTCCTGATTCAGACAATTGAAGAACTTGGGTCGTTCAACCAACCCAGCCTAATCATCGAACCGCTCAGGTTTTGAAATGACTGAAAATAGAAGTTGATCGAGGCGTTCAGGCCTGACTGAAATCCAACACAAAGTGCTGCGCGCAAGCCTGGGCGCGTCCCCTCACCAGGGACTCGACGTAGACCTCGGGCACATAGCTGAAGACGGTGCCCCGCTTGCTGGCCGCCAGCAGCATCTGCACCACCCAGGCGCATGCCGCATACATGGCCTCCTGCTTCCACGAACTGGACAGAGTCACGCGCGACCTGGAAAGGCGAGGCATGCGCAGGTTTCGTTTGTTTGTAAAACCTTTGCATATGCCACAACGTTGAGAGCGGGGCGATAAGAGCACCAGCACGGACGAGTTATAGATGGTAGATCGTACTGCAAACCGCAAGCCGTGAGGTGATGAGAGCTAGTGCACCAAGATAGTAAGATCTGACCCATCCGCACCGCGACCCTTCGCATTCTCAGCTGCGACTCGATTGCCAGACACCAATTTGAACGATAACAAAACTAATGTCGTAGGGAAAGTTCAGTAACGGACCCTCCTCCAATATGGAAATAGGTCGTACCCGTCAAAAGCAACGAGCATGATAATACCGTTGCCCTGTCTAAGTAAGAGCGAACCCTCACCACGCCGACCAGCGTGCGTTCTCCGCCACGTCGTCCACAAACACGGCCCGCACGTCGCGCAGCGTCCGCTGCTGGTCCGGGCGCGCCGCCGCCAGCTGGCGGTCCGTCTCGTCCAGCTGCGCGATGTTGTGCATCTGGTTCTGCAGAAAGTGGCTGGCCTGCTTGAAGTTGCTCGCGATCCCCATATTGTACAGCACGATCAGCACGTCCAGGAGCTCCGCCTCGCGCACCGCCGACGCTCCGGGGGCGGCCCCGCTCGATGACGTGGCGCTGACGTCAGCGGGGCCGGCCGGGCTGGCGTGCGAGCCGCTGCTGGCCAGCGGGCCGGCCCGCTCGTCGGTTTCCATCGCATCTGACGGCGACGCCGTTGCGCTTCCGCTGGCTTCGGATGGCACCGGTTGCGCATCCTCTCCCTGAGGAACGACCTCTCCGTTTTTCTCCACCCACGAAATCTCGCGCGCGTCTGACTTCCCCCAAGGAACTTCCTTCGACAAGTGGCTGTAAAGGCCCCCCAGCCGAGACAGGTCCGCAATATGCCCGTCCGACCGCAAAAACAGTTTTACAGGAAACGACCGCACCCCTCCGCGACTCAGCAGCCCGTTTCGCTCCCTCTCCGCACTCTCCCCTTCCCCTAGCGCCCTCACAGCGTCGCTCCCCTCGAATAAAATCCGCAACAAAGCAAAGTACACTGACACGAGTACAGAATTGTCCGACAGTCCGGGGGGGGGCACATTCCGGTGCAGCCCCTTGTTCTTCTTTAGCAGCCACAAGAGAAAATGCTTGAAAGCGCCCCCCCTCAGCATCGGCTCTCGCGTTGGAGCCGCAGACTGCCAACTGCCGCCGCCCTGCGTTCTCTTGCCCCTCGGAACCGACGCGCTCCCTTCCGCCACACCGGCGCTCGTTGACGGCCCCCCCTCGGGCCCAGCCCGCCTTTCCCGCAACGCGCCCGCGTCCGTTTCTTCGACCCCGCGGCCGCTAGTCCCCTCGTCCTGTCGCTGCGAACCGGTCTCTCTTCCGAGCTCCCCGACCCCTTCCCCCCGTGCCACACCCGCAAGCCCACTGCTGCCGACTGCCTGTGCGAGATTCTGCCAAGACTGACTCATCGTAGACATAGTCCCGAAGTTGAGCTCTGCCTGCCCACTTTGGATCCGAGACACATTGTCCTGGGCATCGCCGCTTTCTTGCTTCCGGGACGGCCCCGCCGGTTCCGAAGTTGGAGGGGGACGTGGCGGGGAGGGCGTAAAGTCGAGGAGGCTAACGCACAGCCGCACCTGCAACTCTTCGATCTTATCGACGGCAACCATGAGGGACTTGGTTGCGGCCTTGAAGGCGGCCTCGGTGCTCGGGAAGTCTCGGTAAGTGGGCCACCAGACCTGGAACGAAGCTCGTTGCGTCAGACCTAGGCTGCGTCAGGCCTAGGATCCGTGAATTGGTTAATCTGCTATCAGTCAGAGAAATCTGAAGCTGTACGAAATAAACGAGTTTACTGTAATGTTGGTAGGCTTAATCTGATCTTAGGTTGATGAAGCAAACAAATCCCAACAAACACAACGTTTGTGTGCCATGAGAAGCCTATTGCCGCACTGGGTACGGCGTTACGAAAAGCGAACATGAGTATTGCTTGCTCCGAGTAGGGACGAGAGCAACGGCTGAGGAGCGGAGGTAAGGAAACACATAGGATCGAACCTGACATTTCTGCGTTTCTTTATAGTGCTGAGGTCGGATATGAATCGCCCTCAAAACCCTCCTTCCAACTGCCCAACGAGAGGGATCCCTCACCTGCGGCAGCAGCTCCGCGAGGTCATTCTTATTGACGGCTTTCTTGGTCAGCAGCCCCTCGAGCGACTCCTCGAAGCCCCAGCTACGCCACCAACAATCGAGCACTTTTTTCCGCGCCGCCAGCGCGCACGCCAGCTTCAGGTACGGATACCCCCCCGTGTGCGGCAACCGTTCGGACGCGACCACGGCCGTCCGACACCCGTACGCGAGCGCCGCCATGATCTCCGGAATGACGAGCGCCAGTTCGTGCGGCTCCAAGCAGAGAAGCAGGACTTCGAGCGCCTTGTCGAGCGTCTGAGGCTTGGACTCTGCGAGCTGGACCAGCCACGGCACGAGCGCGTCCCACACGACAAAGAACGGCACCGACGGCTGCTGCTTCGGCTGCTTCAGCCGGGTGGGTTTCACACGGGGGGGTTGGCTGGGAACGGTCGCCAAGAGCAGCGGCGCGAGCTGCTCCACAAGCAAGGAGGCGAAGAGGAGAGTGTCATGGGGGCGGAGGGGGGCGCGCCCGCCGCGCAACGAGGGGGGTTGAATTTCGATCAACCGCTGGAGGCACTTCAGAAGGTACTTGGCGCGGGGGGCGGCCAGGATCTCCGGCAGGGTCAATGGCTTGCTCGACTTGCTTGGCTCGGAGGGGATCCCCTCATCTTTCGGGGAGGAGACGGGGGTGAGGTTTGGCAGGGGCTCCGGACTGTCTGAGTCCATCTCTACGGGGCCCTGCCACGGAGATCTGTCGGGGACGGACGAGAAGGGCAACGAGAGCGGGGGAGGGGAAACTGCGTTCAGCGGCTGCTTTGGGGTGGGTACTGCGATGGGGCCGCTTGTGCCGCCCTCAGTTTGAGGGGTGGTCACAGGGGAGTGGCTGTCTGGGGACTCCACCAAAGGCTTCTGAGTGGGGGGGATGAGAACGGTGCGCTTGGCCCGAACTCGGGGAGGCGGTTGTAGGGGCAGGAAATCGGCTACTGGATAGGCGAACGGCTTGGCGCCAAAGTTGAGCTCGCATGCCTCCCCGTGAGACAGCGAGACGGCGGGGAAGTAGGCCGCGCCTGGGGCCAACCTCTTAATGCCTGCAGTGAAGATCGTTCTAATGAATTGTTGATATAAAGCCAAGAACCATGATATCAATCTCGAATCTAGTCTTCGCTTCAATACCGAGCAAGAATAAAAGGGGTTTGAAGCAGAGTATGTTTGACCTACAGCAGAGAAGGAGCACCGGAAGCGCAGCGTCAAGCTTCAAGTGAACGACAGCTTGACTGCCAATCTGCCCTGATTACTGACCTTTGTAGGCAACACCAAGAGAGATTCCGTTCCTCGAGAACGACACCTCTCCCTTCTCCAGATCTATGCAGCACCCCACTACGTCCCCTGGGACCCACGGCTGGCCATACTGCTGACAATTGACGCTCCACTTCCTGACACGCTTGCCGTCGTACGCAAAGCTGTCAGGGGCGTCTCCCACGCCTTCCTCGTTTGTGAACGGGCAGCGCAGGGTGGCCCATCCGATCTGTTGAATACCTGCAGATGACAAGCTGTTGACATGAGAATGATGCGGACCTTCAGACGTGCCTCTTCAGCGGCGGCGGGTGATAGATGGATCCAAGACAAAGCAGCTTCGACAACGAGGAGGAGGGGGAGTGTCAGTGATTCAACGATGAGGGGCTTACGTATGCAGATTAAGGTGGCGTAAAGAATCTGTCCTCAGCCCCACCAGCTGCGTCACCCTGTGAGCCAAAGTGCAAATTCTGGAGCATTTGCTCAAGCTCAATGACCACATTCTTCTTCTCTCATTCAACATAGATCCGCCCCAAGTTTCAAGGATGCCCACAATAGCTCACCTGCGGTTATCAAGGTGGCCTCGTACATCCAGCTGCCCTTGAACACGCAACAATTGGTCCTCAGGCTGCTGAAGTTGCTCTGGCTCTCCAACCGCAGCTGTGTGCTGTCAAACTTGCAGTCCCCGCTTGCGCTCTTGACGTCCATGTAGACTGCCTCGGCAACCCCTAACCGCCCCATGGACTGCAAGTCAAGGGGGAACGCCCATGCCTTTGCCTCCCCTTGTGTCTCAGAAAACCGCTCCTCGTCTAAGATGATCTGCAACTCTTGCTTCAAGACAGGAAAGTTGATCCTCGACTGATGCCACTGCTGCCTGGTGCTGTCAGTCACAGCCAGCACCTGATTCACCACCCTCTGTGATACAGAATCACCCGCCAATTCAAGCAGATGAGCGGACGACGCAGACGCGCTACTCAGCAGAGCCGGCCCCTGCATCGAAGGTGAGGTCGAGGGCTCCTGGAGGAGCAGGGCTAAACCGGACGGCGCTTCTTTCAACCGTACAGGCCCTCCCTCCAAAGCACCGTCCGACGCCATGGACCCTTCCCCAGGCAATAACGTCATCGCTTCAATCACTGGTCATCCTAAAAGGGCTGCGAAGTAGGAGAGAGGTTGCATGTGCTCAAATCCTTCCATCCATCCGCCATGCTAAAAATGCACTTGAAGTTGATGCTTGCAAATCAGCTGGACTCCTCAGGCTGAAGCCTACCATCATCCATGATGATGTGGCAGATACCGGTAGAAGCATTTAAAACCGCCAAAGGTCAAGCGCAGGGTTACAGGGGGGTTCTCTGACCACGATTTGCGCGGTGACGGAACCAAAGGAGATGACCGTACTGAACCGTTCGATGTTCCAATGACCATTTCTAAGCCGTCCGATAAGGTGTGCGGATGCTCTAGTAGGTTTGGTTGTGCGGGTTAGTCGACGGGTTGACTTCCCATGTGTTACCAAAATGCAAAAAGGGACAAATCAGAAGGTGCCACATGTTCGGCAATGACAATCAACAAACTTCCCACTTCCAAACCATCTTCCTCAAATTGAAATGGACGTAGTAGTTATACCATGAGAA